CAAAAAATGGAAAAATTTGGTTGCTAAGCATATCGGTTGCCATAGCAACCGATGACCAGTTTTACCTCTTCTGGATATCTATGAATCTAAGCTGAAAAAGGCCATTTTCAACATAATTTTTCATAATAAATGATTAAGAAAAAGAATAATTCTTTATGATTTTATTAAATATATGCATTTTATAAATGTTATTTAATAACTGATACTTTCATATTCATTTTCAATCATTATCAGATATACCCCCCTTTTTATGTGGTTTGCATTAGGTAAAAAATACCCTTTTGAGGTCATTTTTGAATGCTCACCATAATTTTTTGCGGACACCTGAGTTTAAGTCAAACATGAATTCATAAAAACCATAGTCTTATCTTATCAATGATGCGAAAAAGTAATGGGGAATTATGTCTCATTATTTTGTTACCATGGATACAAAATGCTTAGTTTTCATTTTTACTGAAAAAAAAAAAAATTTGAAAATTTTTGAAAAAAAATGTTTTAAAACCTAATTCTGCAGTCAGAAAAAAATAAATAAATCTACAATATGTAGAAATTATTGTAGTCATCAAAATTTTAAACATATTCATATATAACTGTATTATAGTTTTAACTGTGTTGATATGAAAACAATTTCATGATGATACATAAGTTTAAAACAATTTTGAAGAAGTTTCAGTTAGTTTCTTAAAGTGCACAAAAGTAGGAAAACTAAAACACTTATTAAGTTTCACTGTATACAACCATGTGTATATATAAATAATTTTTGCTAGTAAACTATATCGATAATGGTGTTACCACTTGAAGGAAACAAACACAATTTCTATAATCTGGATAAAAGTGCTGATTATGAAGAAATTTCAGTCTGTTTTCATGATCATGAAAAATATACAAGAAAAACAATTACCCAATCTAGAAAAAACAAATAAAATCATTTAAAAAATATATATATTCAATTGTGCAATATTTGTCATTGAATGTGTTGCCATGGAAACAAGCAGTTCATTTGCAAAAATACTGATAAGTGCTAATTTTTACAAATTCGTTGTAATGAACTTCGATACATATAGCAATGAATGTATACAATTTTGCTTACATTATGCAGGTTTTCTTGTATTATCAATATTCCAGGCATTATTAGTGATAGTGTTGCCATAGAAACAACAAATTATATGCATAAACTTGGAAAACACTTTAAAATAGACTAAATCTCTCATACAAAAACTCTCTTCTGTAAGTTTTCAATTTAATGCACTATCAAAGAATGATGGTTTTTACAGTCAGTCCATCAATTATTATTAAAATGCTGTAGTGAAGATTAAAGATCAAAGTGCCACTTGGTGTTGACAGTTTGGAATTATAGCTACTAGCTCCTAACTATTTATACATAATATTAAGAAGATACAATCAGAAAATTGACAGTTAAAGAACACGAAGAAAGGCCAAGCTTAAAATTGTTTGTGTGAGGCACAGAAATAAATACTTATCACAAATGAAAATAATCAATATCGTTAGTGGTGATGGTGGTGTTGCGGGGGGGGGGGGGGGGGGGTAATATTTTGTAAAAAAAGAAATGATCGATTAGTTGTGGTTTGCTTTATGTCCAGTGTCAAATATCTCATGCATATTTCAGAAGTGAACAAAATCAATAAATTTAATAGGCACATTGTAGGTCCTGTGCTAGTCTACTGACCAAAATTTAATTAAAGGTAATAACTTGATACAATTCAACACAATAAAAAATAGAACAAAAAGAGTCAGACGTTGATCCTCTAAATAAATGATAATTGACCATCTAACCTTTCTTTCTATAAAGGAAAAAATACATATATTATGAGTTGTTTATTTTTCTTATTCATTCTTAAACTCAATGTTGAAATGGCAAAGTATGTATAGCTATACGTTTTGAATAATATTGTATTATTGGATGATGAGTATCTACATGAAGATCATTTTTGAGGTGAAGTTGAAAAAAATAGACAATTTCAAAAAGGTCCTACAATAGGGGTAGGCTGGGATAAAGGCAGACAATTTGAAATACTGGAAATCGGGATCAATTGGACAAAGACAGAAATTTCAATAGGTCAAAAGAATTAAACACAAGGGTTCTTTAGCAAACAAAGGGCATAACCAGCAAGGGCGGGTACGGTCGGCCGTCGACCCGATGGTCCCTGCTATCCATTCGACACATTCCTTGTTTGCCATTCTGGCAGGGGAGGAATTTTCGAGATTTTCCAAAAAGTTCCGTTTCCCTTCGAGGACCCGCGGAAAATCTGTCAGCGTCTGGGTGCGGGTCTTACAACGAGCAGCGGGGGGAAAATATACCATCTAGACAATTTTAATATAAGGGGTCCCACAAACTGCCTTAAGAGATGGCCCGCTACATTCATGCTTTAGTAATTCCATATGTAATCAACCAAATGTTTCACATGAAAGGAGGGGGCGGGCCCTTAGGGCCCCCTGGATCCGCCTATGGTAGCACTATCTTAACATTAGTAATAGGCATTGGATTATTGAAATTTGAGAAAATAACAATTATCTTTGTGGATTTTTAGCAGCAAATTAAAAAAATATTGACAACATGATAACTCTTTACACAGGGTAACTTTAAAAGAATTATATACATGTATATATAATTTTATTTTCACTGAAAGCCCATTACAGAAAGATGTTTCTCAAAATAAGTATATTGTCTTTCTTTTAACAAAATTTAGATTTTACTTTGAAACAGGACTCAATGTTTATAACATATTATACATGTGACTTTTTGTCCGTGACTTTTTGTATGTGACTTTTTGTCTGTGACTTTCTGTCCTACATTCTGACCGTTATCATGACCAGGAAAAATGACTTTATACCTATTTATATGTAACAGGCTTTGCATCAAATTTAAAGAAACATTTCGATTGAACCATTAATCTTATCAAATAAGAAAATATAAAATGCTTATCAAATATATTAGCAAACGGTAAATGTATAGACTTTCCGGAACATTTAAAACTATGACAAAGCTTTGGCATACTTCAAGTTAAGTCCGCGAATATGTTTACTTATATTTTATGAAAATATTTTAAGATATCGTGCATGCAGGGGCTCGGGCATACCTCAAGTAGTCCGCGAAATGTTTATTTGTTTTTATGAAAATATCTAAAACTACAAAGATGCCCTGCACAAGGCTCCGGCATGCCTTAAGTAGTACGTGGAAATAATTATTTACTGTTATGAAAGTATTAAAAAACAAACTATATTGGATTGATCAACTTACATGTATTTATGGCCTACTTCACACCTTTTGTGTGTTACTTTATATTTGTGATCAAAGGTGTCAAATTATAACCGGTAATATACAACATAATTTACAACACAGTTAAATACAATATACTACTCAATACCATAAAAAATTTAAATAATCCAGTGCTCGTCATAGTACCCTAAACTGTTTTCCCCATTTTTTTAATTATTTGATAAAAACTTTACCATTCAATCTTAATGTTGTTTTTTTATAAATTTTAAGCAAAGCCTATAAGAGATAATTAAGTATTAGGTAGTACAACGACCAGGACACAGTCAACGTTGGTCAGGTCAAGTTTTTTTACCCAAAAACATATATTTTTCCTGTTTTTTTTTTTTTTTTATAATATAAAATAACACAGAAATTTTCATCGGTTAGGTCATTGCTGTTGTTGGTCTAGTCATTGTCAACGTTAGAAAGGTCACGTTTTCGGAATTTTTCGGAAGTTTTTAATATTTTTTTCTATTTTTTATAAATATTTATATATTAAATGATCAAATTTTATTATATTTCAAATTTAAAATAAATCCGTTAAGAAATAAAAAAAGTTATTAGCATTTTCATTTGGTCCTGTCATTGTCAGCGTTTTATGACGATTGAAAAAGTTTTCTATATTTTCTCTTATATTAATGTATTAAATGGTCTAAATTTATAACAATTAAAATTTGACATAAATCCTTTGAGAAATAAAAAAGTTATTAGCATTTTCGTTTTGGTCCAGTCATTAGTTTAACCCACCAAAGGGAGATAATTCGTATTGTGAGGAATATTGCAAAATGATCATTTTTTAGAAATTAATTTCACATGTTTCTAGGTAGATTCCCCATAACTTTTTTTGATTTTTGATAAAAACAAGACTGAAATTAATTGTTTTTGTGTTTCTTTTTAATAGATGTAGCCGCATAATTTCACAGCACTACACCAAATATTGTATTTTTCTCAAAAATCCCAACTTTCTCCGCTGTTACCATGGTAACCAACCAATATATATATCGGTTGGCATTATTTTTCTGACTAGGCTAATAGGATCTACATATCAGCCAATTTTCAGAAAGATCGGTGACTATGTGTGCCGAAAAAGTTTAAGTGGTTACAGAGAATGAGTATTAATACTCTGTATCTAAACTTGGGGGATTTGTCTGGACCTGAGCAGGTTCCTCAGGAGCAGCACTTGCTTTGCTAGTCTTTCTGGTGCTGGTCTCAGCTAGCCTTACCAAAAACTGATTAATTTTTATATCTGTTTTCTTTACAGTTTCATGTAACTCAGTCACTTTCTTTGTGAGGATCTTCAGCTCATAAGGCACTCTCTGCAACAAAAAGTGTTTTCGATACAGTTTAATTCTATAAGAATTGTTTTCAGCTCAGTATACGCAACTATCACATACATATATTTATATGACCCGATACTAAATGAATGTTTCTGTATCTGAAGTACGTTGTACCATTTATAACTATTTTATGAAAAGCCTACGAATCAGATGCGGATCCAGGACTTTTAAAAAAGGGAGGTAGGAATTGGAATTGCAAAAAGTCAATGCATTACCCATGTATGCAGCTCAATTCGGAGACCCAGGCCCGCCTCCTCCAAAAATTGGTAAACAAGAAGTTGCAAAATTTAAACTTTGGCTATTGAGTTGGCGAGAGATTGACGAGAATAAGGTTCAGCTGGTATCAATAAGCATTTTTTACCTTAAGACTGTTCCTTGAGTCTATCATGGACGAAACATCTCCCATCTCACTGGCATTTGGTTTGATTGTACTGCGATTCTCGGTAATTGTTCCTGTAGTAACAACTCTCTGCAACTACAAAACAAATGCTATTGAAAGTTCAAAATAGTGCTTTTGGAACGACAAACAATACTCTTATATAGAACATAGACATTGTATGTATCAGAGAAAACATCAGAACAACACACTGGAGCACCAGAACAACAAGAGGAAACACCAGAACATCACACTGAAGCACTAGAACAACTAGAGGAAACACCAGAACAACACACTGAAGCACCAGAACAACCAGAAGAAACACCAGAACAACAAACTGGAGCACTAAAACAACCAGAGGAAACACCAGAACATCAAACTGAAGCACTAGACCAACCAGAGGAAACACCAGAACAACAAACTGAAGCACTAGAATAACCAGAGGAAAAACCAGAACATCAACCTGAAGCACTAGAACAACCAGAGGAAACATCAGAACAACAAACTGGAGCACTAGAACAACCAGAGGAAACACCAGAACATCAAACTGAAGCACCAGAACAACTAGAGGTAACACAAAGACAACAAACTGAAACATTAGAACAACACACTGAAGCACCAGAACAACCAGAGGAAACACATGAACAACAAATTAAAGCACCAGAACAACCAGCGGAAACACACGAACAACAAACTGAAGCACCAGAACAACCAGAGGAAACATCAGAACAGCAAACTGTAGCACCAGAAAAGCCAGAGGAAACACAAAAACAACAAACTGAAGTACCAGAACAATCAGAGGAAACACAAGAACAACAAATTGAAGCACCAGAACAACCAGTGGAAACATCAGAACAACAAACTGAAGCACAAGAACAACCAGAGGAAAAACAAGAACAACCAGAAGAAACATCAGAACAACAAACTGTAGCACCAGAACAACCAGAGGACACACAAGAACAACTCACTATAGCACCAGAACAAATATCATGAGTTTTTGTATATTTTAGCACGATTTCGAAAAGTTGATCAATACATTCTTTAAATTCATCCAAATCTTGATAACATTGGCTTAGACATGCTATCTACAAATTCTACACATTGTATACGCTCTCCTCCATCTTCAAATGATTGTACGAGAAGATCAATTTCCTTTTTTTGAAATAACTGCAGCTCCCCTATATCCCCTGGGTACTTGGGCTGGATGTATGTAATTGTACTTATCAACTGATTTATCAACTGATTTTCCTTCAAAATGTTTATCTCATTGAGTGAGTGTATTTGAAATTGAAACAACCAATGTTCTTGTTTGAGGATTATGTCATTGTTCTTTTATAATTTATTAACTGCTTTCGTACTTGTTTTGATGGTTTTAATTTGCAGTTAAATGCTACTATTTTTAGAGTAGTAGTATTAGCTGTATTTGATCTAGTCGGTTGTTTCTTTGGTGTGAAATATTGTCGAGTGTCTACTAGTTTAAGTGACCTCGACCAGCTACGTCAAACAGGCATATGGAAAATAGTTTCGTCGTTGATAGGACGAATAGTTGTAAGCAGTATTTGTTTGTATTTCTGATTTATTGAAATGCAAAGTTGATAAAGGGTAAGGTCGAAGAACTCTCGTCCCTTTTTCCAAAAATGTTTATTGGCCTTGTTGATAAATATAATGGGGGGTTAAGGAACTCTTTGTGTAGTTTGCGGTAAACTCAGTCGATTAAGACTTGATCAGACCAAACAGGTACTGACGAGTAAACAATAAAAACCGAAAAGAAGATTAACTGCTTTTCACATTTTGAAACACCCATACAACTGTAGCTACCGCACTACTGAGAAATACTCTGACATGAGTAAATAAACTCATCATAGATACCAGGATTGAAATTTTGTTTTTGCTTCTTCCGACCGGCAGTAGAACCCTTGCCAAAGTGGGGCGTCCGTTTGGCTGTGCGGGATGTACAAGTACGCAGCCACGTCAGGTCGGAATGGGGACGTTAAATCCGATGCCTCGTGTAGAGAGAGTGCCACGCTCTCTGCACGTTAAGAACCCTTGCAACAACTCTTTGAGGGGTCCGTAGGTGATCTGTTGCAAGGCAAAATTGCTGTCCCTATCCAATTTACCCTCATTTTCCAGTGGCAGTCCAAATTTCCCCGGTCTACATTACAGAACCTACCTATTGTATTTATTGTTAATTTGTTCTCGTCCTGAATATGCATAAAATATTTGCCACTGGACGTTAAGCAACCAACAATCAATCAATCAATCAAAAACAAAAGAAAAACCAAGGACGAATCAAAAATCATAAGTCAGATAACATAAAACACAACCATGGTAGAAAAAAAAAACCCACGACGAATAAAAAGAAAAAATGACACAATATAACACATAATAATGAACATTGAGCTATCTGAAATCAACCGAAACTGGGGATGTATTAAAGTGCTCCGATCTTTTTTGGATGCGAGGGGGAAACGATTTTTAATGAGATACATGTAGGTCATTGATATATTAATTGTATTCACAATAAGTGAAGACACGTGTAAAGATTTTACAAGATACAATTAATCCTTGAAGCCGTACTGTTCTTGCAACCTGTTATTTTATTTTAACGTGAATTTTTAATGATCGATGACATGATTCGGATTAGTCCTTTCCTGATCGGTGATTGGTATAATATAGGTTATTTTTACATATCTGACGGTTTTAAGTGAGCGTTACCGTGACAATCATCAGTAATTTCCATTAAGTATATTGACGGATTTGACGGACAAATATATGATAAAAATTGGTTTTTTAAACGCTTCCGCAATATTTACATGCACGCGGACCTCAACGAATCTATCTTTAGAGATAATTTGTATGCAACTTGGTCAAAATGATAGATGAAAAAATTACATTTAACACATTAAATATATTCAATAATTGCCCCATTTTGACAAGCTCAGAATGGTTTCTGTATCAGTTAATAGCGCCAAAGTGTTACCATTTGAAATCATTGCTCTTAGTATCTCGGTTTTTAGTTATTCCTTTTTTTTTTACTACAGATTTACAAAATTTTGTTCACATTGATTAAGAATGCAACAATGTCTTCATTTTAATTCAAAACATCTACCATCAAAAGATATTTGTACATTTTTACCTCATGATAGAGAAGTGGTGTCAAAAGTTGATAACAATCATATGATTTTGAACTTTCTTCTTCAAACGTATAACTAAAATACGAAATCCATGAAAAATTCAAAAAGGGAAGTGTATAAAAACTTACAATATCAAATCAATCAATGGAACATGTGAAAAGCAACTACCATATTTCTGACTAGGTTAAGGCATTCTAACACAAATAGTGGGTTAAACCTGGTATTATGGCTAGCAAAACCTCCCACTTGACAGATGTTTATAGTTCCGATGTATTGCTAAATACACTAGTTACATAAGTTTATTTATGAAAACCCTGGCCGTGTTGGGCGTAACGTTTTGGAAGTTTTGGTCCCCGGTGCTCTTCAGCTTTGTACTTGTTTTGGCTTTCAAACTGTTTTTATATGAGCGTCACTGGTTAGTCTTGTGTGGACGAGACGCACGTCTGGCGTATTGGATTTTAAACCTGGTGCCTTTTGCTAGCTATTTTTCGTGTTTCTTTGTCCTATATGTTCTCCCATTTATTTGTATCGTAATCCTGTCATGTAATGTTGTCATTTTAATGTTATATTTAACATTGCCTTAAAGCGGGAGGTTTGGCATGCCACAAAACCAGGTTCAACCCACCATTATTTTCTTAAAATGTCCTGTACCAAGTCAGTAAAATGGCCGTTGTTATATTATAGTTCGTTTCTGTGTGTGTTACATTTTAATGTTGTGTTTTTGTTGTGTCGTTGTTCTCTTATATTTGATGCGTTTCCCTCAGTTTTAGTTTGTAACCCGGATTTGTTTTTATCTCTATCGATTTATGAGTGTCGAACAGCGGTTTACTACTGTTGCCTTTATTTAATCAAACGTTTCTTGTGGAGATTGTATATGATAATCCTCTTGGGTTCTACCACTTAGCATTAAACAGATGTTTAAAAAAGTAAAGAAAAGAAATAAGAAACGTTTAAAACATTGAATTAATTTCTACTGAAAACCTTAACATTGAAAGAAGAATGGTCATACATTTTTTTTATTTAATTTAACAAATGAACTATTTTTTTCATTATTTACGTGACATTATTTTCTGCTTTCCCGCTGTAAAAATTGCCTGAACAAGAGAGAAAAAACTGGCATCCCTTTCATTAAAAAATATGCTGAATAACTTACCAAGTAACTTTAATATTTTATACACTGAAACCATTCATTTGTTTCTTGCTCATCGTAATTTTTAAATGTATGTGGACAGTGGCTACGAGCGTTTTTATATAAATATATATATAGATAAGTGAGTTTAAAAGTGTAAAAGGTCAATTTATATAACTTAAAGAAAAGTATATGTTAGTTACATTTGTGATATAAAGAAGCTTGAATAATTAACTGACTTTCTAATTTGTTATCATCAGTTTTAACTCTGTCTTGCCTCAATATATTTAATTGTCTATTAGGAATACTTATTCTATAGTGTGGAAAATCCACGAATGAATGCACTCTTTGTGGTGAAAATATGACTTAAAACAATTAATAAGTGACTTCAAAGTATATATAATGAATTTCGGAAGTATTGAATACAAGAATCGGTAATAAACAAATCAGTTAAAGAATATAATTATAAGTCGAAAGTACGTGGCACTACAGTTGATGGTATCCTTCTTTCTGGTAAGCATGTGTACAATTTTGCAGATAAGGTTATTAGAATATGTATCATATTTCATGTTACTTTTTTATATTTTATGGTTAGAGTTGTATTAATATATATTAATTTTGAAAAAAAGGAAATGTAGAAGTCTTTTTTTTTTCATATGTCCTTGCTAAACAACCATGCACTCGTCAATCTGTTTACCAGTAAATCTACGTTGCGCATATCATTTGTAAAGTCCACTGTCATTTTCTTAATTTGTCGACTGAGGTTATGTTGACATTAGAAGGATTTGGGTTTTCATTTTTTGTCCATTTTCGCCATATAGCTAGTAGAGTGTTTAAGTTTTAATGCATCCTTAGCTTTAAAATGTTATGATATGAACATTTTGCATCAAGCTAAATTCAAACATTACTAGCAATTAAGCATACATTACGTATTACAACTAGATGAATAAATCAAGCATTTATCTGTGATTCAAAAAAGAAAAAAAATATATACAACACATTTATAAGAATATCGATTGAAAGTCCATTAAGTTTATGTCTGTTTTAATTCTGTTGATGGCATACGAAGCAAAAAGAGCTAATTGAATAGTATTTAATTATGTATTACATTTTGTAATTTTATTCCCTTGGTTAAACTGCTGATAAGCGATTGTCTAATTTATTTCTTTGTCTTTTTAATAATATATTTTCGCAGTTTAAAATCTGTTTTTTTTTTCTTTAATATGATAAATGTTCATACATTAAATATGCAAATGTTTTGTTGTAATCATTTAATTACAAATTGCTGGAATGCAAATTAAGATTATTTTCCTTTTTTCATTTTTATAAGTTAATTTCAATTAGAGATATAAACATATTCATACTTAGCAATAGAGATGGAAGTTTTGAAAACGTATTAACATTTTAAGAATAACGATAATAATTCCTGCGGTTTGATCTATTTCATTTTTATCAACAACAACAACAAAAAATTCCGCACATTTTTATCTTGTTCACTTTATATAATTGATGAATGGTATTATTTGTACATTTTTTGTCTCCAAGATGGTGATCTTTTTAAAGAAATACTTTACTTTTAGTTGTATATTTTTCAATTATTTCATAGTTAGTATTCATTTGCAAATATGTAGAAGTTATACGCAGGATAATTTTTTTTTTTCTTGGTTTCGCCCCCCCCCCCCCTCCCAAGGGTGACTGGGGAATAGAAGTATGGTCACCATTGGTCTTCCTCCGACCGGCAGTAAAACCCGTGCTAAAGTGGGGCGTCCGTTTGGCTGTGCGAGATGTACAAATTTGCAGCCACGTCCGGTCAGAATGGGGACGTTAAATCCGATGCCTCGTGTAAAGAGAGTGCCACGCTCTTTGCACGTTAAGAACCCTTGCAACAACTCTTTGAGGGGTCCGTAGGTGACCTGTTGCAAGGCTAAATTTCTGTCCCTATCCAATATACCCTCATTTCCCGTGGCAGTCTAAATTTCTCCGACCTTAATCCCTTAATCTGTTACAGAACCTACCTATTGTATTTATTGTAAACTTGTTCTCGTCCTGAATATGCATGAAATATTTGCCACTGGACGTTAAGCAACTAACAATCAATCAATCAATCTTGGTTTTCCTTTACAGACATAATGAAAACGAAATGAAAGTAACAATTTCTGATTGGCTATTCAAATGAACTAAAACTTATTAGAAATATTTCTATAGCTTGATTAACACTAGTTATTACCTCTTTAGGCAAAATTTATAGTGATCAGAAGGAAAGCCGTCCGTGTACATTAACGCCAAACATTTGTCATTTTAAAATGAAAAATAGATTTTGCAAAATGCTCTGCAACTTTTGAAGTTAATTGGTTTGAAAAATGTAACAAAAATCTATTGAAGTCACTTTTGAAAAACCATTTTCTCTATGAGATTTGAAATTTGTTATTTTCATGAGATTATATTTTTGATTTCACGAAGATATTGAAACAAATAACAATAAGTTTGTGTTAAAAATGATTTTATTTTGTCAAAAGTTTGAATATATTAAAACATTTGTATTTGCTTGTTTTAGAAAACAAAACATATTTCAATCTCATTCTTAAAAGCAAATATTGAAATTGCTGACCTTTAGCATTTTTCAATTTCACTTACAATATTGAAAAATGAAAAATGTTCTAACGTGGAGCATTTTTCAATTTGGCTTACAATATTGAAAAATGAAAAATGCTCTAACGTGGAGCATTTTTCAATTTGACTTCAAATATTGAAAAATGAAAAATGCTCCAACGTGGAGCATTTTTCAATTTGACTTCAAATATTGAAAAATGAAAAATGCTCCAAAGTTGAGCATTTTTCAATTTGACGTTTGATATTGAAAAATGAAAAATGCTGCATATTGGAGCATTTTTCATTTTTCATTTTACTGTGCAATATTCAAATTTGAAAACTTTTCCCATCTGCTTCATTATTTAAATGTCTGATAATAAAAACGAAATGTAATTTGTTTCAATATAGGTGTTTTAAATGTTTATATTGTTGACACTATTTATTAAATGTTTTACTATTTCCGTTTTCTTTTTTCTTGTTTTAAGCGCAATATCTTGAAGATCTTTTTATGGTGTGTGTGTGTGAACTATGTGTGGTATCAACTAATTCCGAACAAGAATTGTACACTGACAAGTACGATAATGACCACACAAAAAAACATTCTTTCTTTTTATCTATATATCTAGCTGTCTTTGTAGCTACATGTATATATCTATCTTTCGATCTATCAATCTGTCATTCATTGTATCTATCTATCTGTCTATCTATCTGACTTTTGTTTATCTTTGTCTTTTCTTTCTTTGAATTGTCGGGGTTGAAATCTTTAATTTAGTTCTCCCGAAGTGAAGAAGTCACTTTACATGTACATGTTTAAAGAATGGAAGAACTTTTAGACCATCGTTGTTTGATTCAACAAATGATACTTGACGGAAGAACACACCAAGACATTTCTCAACACTTGACTTCTTTAGGAATCAAGCATGCATCAGCGCGAACAATAAGCCGTTTTTGTTCTGAAAATGGAATTACTAGGCGATGCGGAGTAGACGAAGGAGCATTAAACCATATCGTGGCTGAATGTGTCAAACATGTAAGAAAAGAAGGGAAAATATTAGAATATTAGATATTGTCCATGTCAGTTTCTGTGCATGTTCAAGGAGGAGGGTTCGCAGTTGGAGTGAGGGTGGGGAGGGGTGGGTGTAGATGTTATATTATTCTGATCACTGCGCTAGTATTTGTTTTCAAATTTGTATATTTGTATACGAATATTTTCTGCATTGTACAGCATTTCCTAATTTTGATTCTGTTTAATACAAACTTATTATTACCAAGCTTATAATATTCACAATTTTCTGTCGCAGAATATCAAATAAGCATCATCTTATAAAAGAAAATATTAATTTAACTTACATGCATGTATGTGTGGTAAATGTATATTTCGAAGGATGAATGACTTCTTATAGCAAAGAATATAATATTATCATAATTATGTGAATAGTATTTCAACAAACATAATACAGTTCCCATGAAGTTCTGTTTTATGTACATTCTATTATCTTTTATTTAATATGATTTTACATCTTTAATATGTGAAAGCAAAACGAGTATTATAGGACAAATATGTCGAGACAAAAAATGGGTCTCAGTCAGTGACGATCTTCTTTTGAAATAAAAAAAAATTAAAAAAAAAAAACAGATCGACACAGATCGACACAAACGTATTCCAAATCATGTACATGGAACATATACATGTACCAGAAGTTACATTTAAAACATGATGTGCGCATAGTGTGTGTTAATTTCAGGTTGGACCCACATACGGTCGGAAAATGATGACAGGCCATTTATCAAGCAAAGGAATCAACGTGTCTGAGGCTAGAGTTGGTAAAGCATTAGCGACAGTTAATCCTCGCTACCATCATTTACGACAGCAGGTATAGGAAATAATTCATATCACAATTATATGCTAGGTTTGACTTAAGTTTGTGGTGATTCAAACCTCTTGTTCCTTCTTCTCTGATGGTTAAGTGATGAAACCCCGGCGTTCATAACACTCTCCAAATCACACAATATTTTTAAGATATAACATGTAAACCTGATTTCAGATTTATTGATTTGTTTTATTTTACTTTCTCATTTATTCCTTTTGAATTGAAATTTGAATGCTTCCTTTCATAGTTTTATTAGGACATTCATCTACATGTAGGTCACCAACGGAAATACATAGTGTTTGAACTTCTGCAATGATGACAGCGTATTATGCACATGGTCGACGCTATCACCAAGCCAAGAAGTAAGGGACGACATCAAAAGTTCAATGTAGGATAAAAAACTTAATTCACATAGTTTTTTTCACTGACAACCCCCCCCCCCCCCCCTACTTAACTTAATTTGGGAAAAATGATTGTAAAATATGGATATAATTATGTAAAATCGATTTTGGATAAACAAAACTCGCAGCAATTTTACACCCCCTCCCCCTCCCCTCTCCCACCCCAAACTATTTGATTTAAGTTTTTCATCCTACAATGATCTTTTGATGTCGTCCCTAAAACATGAATGCAGGATATGGATAAACGCTGACAATTTTAATTCTGCTTTGGTACAGTTACCACGTGACTGTTACCATGATCGGTCATGGATTTTGCGTTTTATTCGGGACATAAAACATCTCTTTTGAATAGCCTTAATTTTTGTTTGCTAGTCAAAAGAAAGGTCAATAAAAACTTAATATTTAATAGATAAATCGTTTGTCATTGTACAAGTTTTTTGTGTGTGTGTAAAAATCGTCTGCTAGTGAGTCATGTCGATTTCTTCTTATATATCATTATCTTGGTATCGTTCTTTACTACTCCCAAATGGAATGACAGGGACTTGAACCCTACAAACATTTTAAAACAGTAACTTTCTTATTCTGTACCTGCCTACTACTAGTATCCCAAGCTATTAATTTGTATGAATGTATTACAGTTGTGGTCCTTATTCAATTTGCTGTCAGTCATAACTTATTTTTTCATCGTTTTATAATAATTTTGACCGTGTTTTTCTCTTTTTCTTTTATTGTTTCGATTTTTGGTTTTGTTCGTGCTAATTTCCTATAATAATGATGGGGGGATGTAGGAGGGGTCCTTTTCCCGAAATCCCGGGCTTAAAAACAAGAAATCCCGAGGTCCCGAATTTAAAGAAATTTAAATCCCGACATCCCGAAATTCGAAAAAGGAACTCCCAGATCCCGAAAGGATCAATCCCGAGGTCCCGAATTTAAAGAAATTTAAATCCCGACATCCCGAAATTCGAAAAAGGAATTCCCAGATCCCGAAAGGATCAATCCCGAAATCCCGAGCTTAAAAACACCCCATCCCGACGTCCCGAAAAAAGGTCCTGCCCCCCCCCCCTTCCTTAATGATGATAACAAACTAAAATTTTTTAATTAGTTTACTTCGCTTCTTCTACCTAGTATTTGTTTAGCAACCAACAATCAGTCAATCCAGCTCTTAATTATTTGTAACAAACGTATATAATGGTCCTTTCATATTTTTTATAATTATCATTTCTCTGCAGGGAACGATGTTTTGGAATATTGTTTCGTATCATTTTGTAATACGCTTACGGAAATATAATTGTGCAAGGTTTAACTTAATGTAATTGGCAGAAAGTTTATACACTTGGTAGCATAGCATTCATTACTCTCCTTTTTATGTGACAATATTTAAGAGTTATGGAACTTTAACCACTGTAGGGTAAATCAACTGTTTCATACTAATTACTTTCCCCTGAATTATAAATAAAAAAAAAATTCCTTTCTGTTGTCAGAATAGGAACGAGAATTAGGCAAAGAGACAACAATCCGACCAAAAAGCAAAAACAGCCCAAGGCCTGGCACTAGTGGGTCTTCAATACAGCGAGAAAAATCCCGAACATGGAGTCGTGCTCCACTGAGCTGGACCCTTTACACAAATGTGTACTAGTTCATCGAAAATGGACGTCACATTAAATTCCGAAACATATTAATAAATCTAAATAAAAAAAATTATATGCAAAACGAACTAAGGCTACATAGCAAGATAATCACACCAGCTTCTTCTTTTTTATTCTATCATAGTACTTAACTTATTAATAAGTAGTTTGTGCAAGCGAATGTACTTCCAGTGTGACTTTCAAAAATAACTTGATAGTTGCTTAAGGTATATCATACTTTTCAATCGATTCGGAAGTTGACATAATATATGTATAGAGACACCCGTCTTCTGTTGAATACAATATAAGTGCTTCCCAAGAGACTTTTGGTTATGTGTTTCGTTGGGTTGTTATTTCGCTGCCGTGTAAGCGACATCTTTTTCTGTTCATATCAGTATATATCAAATCGTCGTGTTGCGATGTAATAGAAAAAAGGTATGAAGAGAATTATAAAGCCATAGTTTTAAAAGAGATTCTTCTGAGAATACTAACTTACAGAAAAAATTAATAAAAAATTAACTGTCGATATATTTGATACATAATTGATTTTTAATCCGAACAGGCGTCGATAATAAAATTACAGTAATTTTTTTGGCAAAATCCATTGCAAGTGTACTGACTGATTTTGTAGGCTCAGACACATGATGGTTTATAGGTTGTTATTCGCTTTGAACTAACTATCACAAACTTCGAGCACGCTTGTATCTGTACTATGTGTGTTTAGCCTTTTTTATAACTTGTTTCTTGGTTTTTATACGTCCAAGACGTGACGTATTATGGTATACCGTTACCCGTCCGTTCGTCCGTCTGTCCGTCCGTCCGTCGTCCACACTTCGGACAATTAATAAAAAACGCTTCCACCAACTTTTATGAAATTTTGTTGAATTGTTTATATCTATTGACGTAAGCTCCCTTTCGATTTTTATAAATTTCAAATTTTTCGTTTCCATGTTATGAAGTTTTATCCTTAAAAAAAGGGGGATTTTCCAGTTTTCGGACAACAACTCAAAAATGCTTCCATCAACTTTAATGAAACTTTGGTGAATTGTTTATATCTATTGACGTATGCTCCTTTTCGATTTTTATAAATTTCAGATTTTACGTTTCCGTGTTATGAATTTTTATGCTTAAAAAAGGGGGGATTTTCCAGTTTTCGGACAATCACTCATAAACACTTTCACAAAATTTTATTAAACTTTGGTGAAATGTTTATATCTGTTGACTTAAGCTACCTTTCAATTTTTATAAATTTCAGATTTTACGTTTTTCAGTTATGAATTTTTATATTGAAAAAATTGGGATTTTTCCAGTTTTTGGACAATAACTCAAAAACACTTTTACCAACTTTTATGAAACATTTACATTTTTGGTGTTATGCAGTCTTATTCTTAAGAAAAATTTGGCTTTTTTCCAGTTTTTTGGATGATAAATAAAAAATACTTTCAGCAGTTTATGATGAAACTATGGTGACTTGTTTATATCTATTGAACTAAGTACCCTTTTGTTTTTTATATAATTTCTGATTTGATGTTGTACAGTTGTGGAATTTTTCTTCTGAAAAAAATGTCGGAAACGGCTAAGGAAATTTATTCGTTGAAAAAAAATCATTTAAAGCATTAAGACAAGCTAAAAGGGAAACGGGCGTATCATGCGCTTATAGCGCAGCTCTTTATTTATTTATTTGATGAGTCAAGTCTTTTCAACTGATTTTATCAGAAGTTTTATAATATGCTGTTTATCACTGTTCCATGTCAAGGGGATGGTTGTGCACCTAAAACGAGTTTAATCACTACGAGTTCTATATATGCGCCGTAAAATTATATTTTCTAGAATGAATTGAATTGTTTTAAATTTTTCATTTTGGAATTTTTTGTAGCTTGCTATGCGGTATTGGGTTTCCTCAATGTTGAAGACTGTACTATGAATTATACTTTCTTACTTCAACATCATTTAATGTCTGGTGGAAAAAATTGTTTCTCAGGCAATCATATCTCATCTTTATTTTATAAACTTATGAATAAAACAAACACTAGTATTCGTCAGTTACAAAGCACGCCATTCACGAATTGAGTAAATGAATGCATGGAGAGCGCAGCGTTATATATTTTCATGTGCCATGCGTAGCTTTACATATATGAATTTTTATAAATGTACATGTATCAATTGGTGATGCTTTTTGTACTTGCTAAAGGGGAAACTAAGAAAAAATAAGATAGCAACGTTTCTTCGGTATTGGTTATGTTTATTGATTGCGTTACGATCAATAACAATAATAACAACAGATGAAATTACTAACAATAAGTGATATATATTTGACGATTATTAAAAAATGTATTCTGACACGATGAAAACAAGAACCTACGGTACCAAAAATACAAGACGAGAACCAGTTGCTCATTTTGATCAGTAGGAAAGGTAGAGAAAACAAGGAGCATGTTTTATGCCTTAGTCACACTAGACCACGATTGCACCACGCTCACCGCGATCTAAAAGGTGAGGTCACGGTACGAGCGGGATGAAAATTTTGATTTTCATTGTTTTCACGACGCTACTACATCCTCATTACGCTTCTACAACAATCCCGCTACGGGTCACGTTCTCATCACGCTTATTCTGCGACTTCAATGCGATAATCACGATCTTATTACGCTCATCACGTTTTCATAACGACAATACATGCACGATTTATCCGATTGCAACACGATCTTACCACGCTTCTTCTGCGATTATATCACGTTCTTACCACGGTTCTTCTGCGATTATAGCACGCTCTTACATCGATCAGTCTACGACCTTTCCACTTTCATACTGTGATCTAACTACGCTCTCATCAATTACGTCAACATCATGTTCCATATAAATACTGTTCCATTCCTTCTAATTGTCATTAATACGTAGAATTCTCGAAAACAACACAGGCATACCACCAAAATATACCAGAACTAGTGGTCGTGGTGGTAGGGATAGAGGTAGAATCACAGGAGCCTCTGATACGAATTCTGATCCAGTAGACATGTCGGATCAACCAATCCAACCTGAGTCACAACGCATTGCTGATCCATCGAGATCAAATGACGATATGTTATTGAACAATAGAGGGAATGATATAGATGTGTCAAGCATGGTTGTGCTCATCAGACCTTGACCTCATTTCATGGTCCAGTGGTCAAAGTTAAGTTTTTGATATTTGTTTTTTTTTTTCTAACACTATATGCAATATGTCATCTTTATTTGGTGTATGGAAATATTTACTGATGTGCATGTCAGTCTGGCAGGTTTTATTTGACCTTGACCTCATTTTCACTATTCATTGATCAGTGTTCAGTTTTTTAGTTTTGGTCTGATTTTCTTAAATTATAAGCAATAGGTTAACTATATTTGTTGTATGGAAGAATTGTAAGCTGTACACTTCTGCCTGCCATGGTTCATCTGACCTTGACCTTAATTTCATGGTTCATTAGTCTGAGTGTTTAGTTTTCTTGTTTAAGTCTGTTTCTTAGAAACTATAAGCAATAGGTCAACTATTATACTTAGTGATTTATTGTAAGGTGTACATGTATTTCTTGTTTTGTTTATATGACCTCATTTTCTTGGATCATGTTAAGTTTAGGGCTATTCCATTAAAATGTATGTGGGAGGGTAGGAAGGGAAGTTTAATCATTGAATGTGGGTCATGGGTCTTTTTTCATTATGCGTCCATTACCATTATGCAAAATTATCTAAAAAATGGTTCTTGATTGTAGGGATATTTTGAAAGTCCCTTCCTACCCTCCCACATACATTTTAATGGAATAGCCCTTATGTGATAGTTGTAGTGAAGCTTTATATTAGGACTATCAACATAATATCAATGATAAGTAAAGAAGACGAGACATTTCAGCGTGTGCACTCTTGTCGTAATTTGGGCAATTTTAAATAATTTGATTAAAACATTTATCGATATTGCCTCTTTGTTGGTACTATTATATTTTTTTGTTTGGTTTATATGACCTTGACCTCATTTTCTTGGATCAGGATAAGTTTATGTGATAGTTGTAGTAAAGCTTTATATTTAGGACTATCAACATAATATCAATGATTAGTAAAGAAGGCGAGACATTTCAGCGTGTGCACTCTTGTCGTAATTTGTGAAATTTTGAATAATTTGATTAAAACATTTATCGATATTGCCTCTTTGTTGATACTATTATATTTTTTGTAGCTCGTCCGCTCCCATTTTATATTCGTTATGTAAACAGAAAGTCACAACTGTTTTTTTACAGGGATCACGAAACTTTAATCCTGTTCCATATCAGGCTGATCATTTTGGACATAAAATCCATCTTGATCAAAATGAAAAACTTGTGATGTTTGGTGTTACACATGTTATAGCTGTGGACGGTTACAGTGGTAAAATTGTTGGATACACGTCCATGCCAGTTAAGAATAATATTACTATTTACGAAGACGTGTACAGGTAGGCAGAACAATTTTCATAGCCCGAGTTCACTTGAAACTCTAGAGTCCTCTTCAGAGTTTCAAGAGTATCACGTGAACGAACTCGAGTTGTTATTCGGAACAACTGTAAGTAACTCTAGGGTAAGGTCTAGACTAAGCATAAAAAAGGGAAAAAATCTGATTGGTTTGACGTCATTCAAGGGTTTCTCGAGTTAACCCTGGCTCAGTGAGGATTGGAACCGGGGTAAGAGGGGTTAACTCGAGAGGTTCGAGTAAACTCGGATTGTTGAAACCCGAGTTAGTAAAGTTAACTCCAGAGTTTCAAGTGAACTCGGCCCTAGTGTACTAGTATATGACTCTCATAGGCCGAGTTCACTTGAACCTCTCGAGTTAACTTTATTTACTCGGGTTTCAACAATTCGAGTTCACTTAAACCACTCGAGTAAACCCTTCGTACCGTACCCTGGTTCCAACCCTCACTAAGCCAGGGTTGAACTCTAGAAACCCTTGATTGACGTCAAACCAATGAGATTATTTCATTTTTTATGCATGGTCAGGGCCTTACACTAGAGTTGTATAGAGTTGTTCCAAATAGCAACTCCCGTGCGTTCACGTGATACTCTTGAAACTCTGAAGTCGATTTTACAGTTTCAAGTGAACTCGGCCCTAAAGCCTTTAATTTCAGTCCCAAATTCAGTTCATAACATTTAGTAAAAAACCTAAACTGAAAGTCTAGTTTTGTCTTATATAGTATACCAAAGAACTTGTTGATAAAGATTGAATTTCTACTTTCTCTATTTAAATTAATACATAATCTTTACTGCAAGCGGAAAGAATTGAATTCAAATGTTTACTACTTACTTTTTCTAATGTCTTTAAAATCTATGTTTTGATACCAGGTTGTGAATATTTGGCACGAATGAGGAAATTTAAATCACAGATCATGTCTCAAATTATTTTAACAAACTTTTAAAGTTTATAGCACATAAAAAACAATGTGCTATTGTTGAAAATAATTTCGTCTGTACAGTGGCTATTGTTTCATTAACTGAAAATAACATATTTACCATAGATTTTTTCGTACCTCGAGAAACAATAACGTTTAGTTAATTAGTAAATCTGAGTATGGCCTTTTGGAAATACTATCTATTTTAGATCAGCAGTGTTAAAGTATGGGATGTGGGATCAAATGAGAGTTGATCATGGCAAAGAATTCTTCCTCTGTCTATACATGCAAGAAAAAAATGAACAATACCGTAACCGCAGAGAATATCAACCTTATTGTCAGACCACATCTATCAAAGTGAGTACACGAAAATAAAGCTTAAGTCGTGCAAACACAGCTCATATTGGTTAGCAATACAGCGTGACACATTCTATACCACTTACTTGTTTTCCGGATATATATGTAAATAACAATAAAAAAAATGTAGCATGGTTGCTAATAGCACAACAATCCACCAGAGAACAAACGACGTGCATATTAATTAACTATGAACTTTTGAAGAAGTCTACAGCTTTATACTTTATATATAGACCTGTTCCGAATATATTGACCGATGAAAGAATTCCTAGGTTCAACATGATAAAAAGAGGTCTATACATAACTGTTGACTAAGTGGAATTTTATAAATATTGTAAGTTTGAAAATACTATTGTAATGTCCTTGACACGGATGTTACTATTTTTAGTAAAATGCAGGCAATATCAGTTAAAAAAAATAGTAACGTCGAGTCAATATGTCAAAATAGTGAAAACAAATAATAAAATCTATATTTGGACACAAGCGACCAAATAAACCAATTGGTAACCTGAAAATTCAGACCATATGCAATATAAGCAACTATTGGTCCCCGTAAAGACTTTATCAATGAAACACTTAACAAAAAGCTAATATGACAGACACTAATCAAATAAAACCGTATTCGTAATGAATATCCACGACATAATTTTTCAACGGCCTTGCACACCCATGTTGTCCGATACTGCCCAAGCAAAATGAAACCTTTTATCGAATGGCATCTACAAGAAGTTCAAACACTAGTCTTCATCTCTTCATTTCAATTGTTTACCGTCAAATATGTGCATTAAATAATATCAATTGAACATGAAGGAAGCAGCACTCGATCAATCAGCAATGCCGATGCCACAATATACTAAATATCAATTCCGATTGATATTGTATTGTAAATTTTAGTGACTGTTATAATTTTATATAATGAATATGTTCTTTCACAGAATCACAGAGTTGAAAGATTGTGGGTTGAGATAAATAACAGACTAAACTTTCCAATTAAAAGAGCAATTGTTCAGATTGTAAACAATAACAGGATCGATTTGGATGATGATATAGTAAAGTATTGTGTTTCATCTTTATTGTTAAACTTGTGTCGCATCGGATTGAAAACAGTAGTCGAGTCATGGAACGCACATCCAATTCCAGGTATATAAACATTACTGGTGACGTCTTGTAATGAAATTTTGTGTTGATTTTTTTTTTTATTTCATTATTATAAATTGTGCTTTGATGACCTCGTTTAAGATTACCGACTGTATGAAATTCCCGTTCTTGTCTCGCCTGCGACAAAAGCCGCTGTATGCGAGACATATGTTTGCTATCCAGCGTCGGCGTAATAAACTATTTGTATAAAGCTTTATATTTCATAAGGTAGAAGACTTGATGCTTCATATCTTGTGCTTCCGTCAACCATATATTCATTGTCTGTGGGCCAATTTTCATTCTTCAGGGACCGCTCTAACAAAAAGTGAAAATGCGAGCTACTGCTCACTGATGATAAACCGGCGAAAAAACTTGACGGTTAACATGAAGTTGTTGAGTGATTAATCTGAAAACGCATCACACGGTACAGCTGACTTATATAAACCCTGACATCAAATTTCAGAAATCCTTGTTATGTAGCTCATGAGAAAAATGTGACGAAAAAATTCAACTTGGATGCCATGTGTAAAATGATGTAAGTGTTCGGTAAAAGTTGTTGAGTGATGAATCTGAATAAGCCGCTTGGGTTCTGTTACCCCACCCTTTTCATATAGTTTAGATTTAAAAAAAAATGTATACCTTTTCATATATTGTGTGGTTAAAAATGTAACCTTTTCCCATATTTGGGTTTCATGGGGTGTGTAATGATCTGTAATGTAACAGTGGAATACCAAAGTGCCAAAAGAGAAAAAATGGCTGATAAAAAAAGTCGGGAACACTGATAAAGATGACAGACGGAGAAGTTATGGGAACTTTATTGACCAAATCATATACTTTTCATAGTTTTCCCGAGCTATTCACATATTTCCAAGCTTGAAAAAGTGACCTATTCAAGCGGCACATCCTATCACCTTGTATATAAAAAGTGCACCCCCCCCCCCCCCCCCCCCCACCCCCCGGGGGTAACTAAAAGATCATTGCAGTGTTTCATTATCATTTAATAATAAAGTCTTTCTTTGTGCAGGAAAGGGGAAGCCGAACGAGTTAGCTTTTCTAAAAGCACACACAGGTGATATTCCTCCGGAATTGCTTCCATCTGGTCGAGATGCAGCAGAGAGCTATATGCATGATATTGGATCAAGCTTAAAGATTCCTAGGGATTTTGCCCCCAATCCTTTTTATACAGAAGATGATATGCTGGAATGTGAAAACACCTTGAAAATGAGATATCCAAATCTTCAAGTTTTAATTAGTGAATGTTTGAATAACAATGACAAACCTTTACAAGATGCAGCAGAGTATATAATACAAATAACAAAAAACATACTGTCAAGGTAAACAGGAAAGTACTTTTTGGACGCATTAAATAAGTACAAATTGCACATTCTAAAGTATTTATTGAAATACAAGAATAAATGCAAGATAAAAATAATGGACATTGATCAACAATGTTACATGAAACATGATGCTATCATTAATAAATTGTTGTCTACATTTGTTGAAATAAAATTGAACAAATACAATTATAGAAAAGACAGAAAGTTCATTTTGCTTACTTTTTCTTTAATTATCATCATTTTCAACTTCTCTGAGATACGGATTAAGGCGTCAAATTATTTTACCTGATAATGTGACAGGAGAACACACTTATAATGTAATGCATTGCTTTAAGAGAGTAAATGCAAATAAAAAAAAACACCTACTCTATCCCATTCAGATTTTCACAGAGTCTACTAGTTTTTGGAAAAAATTAATCAAAATTTTAGCTGTAACTCAAAATATGCACAATTTAATTTAAGGGTTTCTTTAATCCAGTTTGACATACCCCAATTTTTTGATAATGTAATTTCATCCACAAATTTACTATTTAATGTTCAAAATATAAAGATATAGATTCAGAATATGTTGGAAACACTTGTTATACACTATCCACACTATATGAAGAACAATAACTGTGTCCCAAACAAATGTTTACCTAATATCTTTAGCTGGTACAACAGTACATGTATGTGTTGTGTTTTTTTGGGGTATTTTTTATAAAATACTCAACAATGTTTTGAATTGCAATTAACAAACCATATATTTACAAACAATTACAAGATTTGAAGAGCGCCTCCTGCTTTATATGTAATACACATGTTGCATATTGTTATGTTTCTGAGTTATTTTTGTACCGTGAATGCGCAGTCTGCTTAGAGTGCTGCATGATATGTTGTTTTCCCACATTAGTTATTTTTTTTATAAGGTAAATGATATTTACAAATAACCATAAAGGTAAATTTATATGTTTATAAAGGAAAATCAGTGTTTTTTTTTATTCTTTCTGAATAAATTACATCTGTAAAATATACAATTATTTAAAAATTATTACAAACAGAAAAAAATATATTAGTTAACCAGGGTTGGCAAAGTATTACGCGCTCCAGAAAATCACGGGCTGGGCAATACTCCTAGAAATGGGTTATACTGGGCATTATGATTTTTTACACTCATTTCAACACAAATAGTAAAGACTTGTTGTAGATTCATAGTATTATAGCTAAATGTATAATTTTATACAGATAACCATTGACAGACTGAGTAATTTCTAGAAAATTCAATTTCATTCTCTTTTCCACAAATTCTATGTAGGCAAACTACAAGCTTTGCACATTTTAGGATACCTAGCGTTGTTTCAACAATCCAAACTTTGAAAAAAAATGCATTTTATTGGAGTGGTTAAGTGAATTGTACATTTGAATTCACGCGGCAATATATGCAATCATATCGCCAAATAAACACCCTACTGGGTTTTGTCATTAACATTTATAGAAATGAAAAGGCTGATTATTGTTATATAAACATATCTGTGTTCTAATCTGAATAATTAGTTATCAATTATTTAATATTAATTTTTCTTACATACAATTATTAGTAATTCGCAATATTAGTTATATATTTGAAGAAAAAAAAATCAATTCCTTTGACCAATCCAGACAGAAGTGTGATTTAAAGACTTATTGGAGAATTATTGAGAAATGCTTTTTCCATTTATATGTCTAATGCATCTTCATGGACATGTGTCTCATAGTTGCTAGAATAATAATTTGAAGTTTCTCAGATGTATACACTTGTACATGAAATGTAAGACTCTCACACAAGTACAGTTATTTATGAATCAATTTTTTTTAAAGATATAGGCCAGTATATCATATTACCCAGTATTTCTCAGTAAAACTTAGTACAACCTGGGTTTTCTAATTATTTCCCACTGGACTTGGCAATTCACAAAACCCGGGATTTTTGCCACCCCTGCCATTCACCTATGGCAAATATACGTTGCCCTCAATGAGCGTTAGGTAAATAAACAAATATAATGTTTTTAGTATATAACTAGTCTGATACTCAGTGTTTACAAAAATAAAAATAAAGGTTACAACCAATTGTTACTGCTTCTGCATCAATCCTGTTCAGATATCCTGCAATGAAGTCAAACTACATGAATCAAGAAACAAAGTGCAATTAGTTTTCATTGTAATTCATAATGGTTTTAAGGAACTTTCACATCAAACTGGTTTATTTGATGCAGCTCGTTGAGGTGTGGTTTAACATGTTTAAAACATTTTCTTTTTGAAATCTGAATATATTCTGTAAATAAGCAAACATTGTTGTTAATGGTTTTTTTTATTTTGCATAGTCTCTGCTTTCGGAACTTTCTTTTTAGACAACGGACTATTAAGAGCCTTACATATTGCATAAACACCTGTTTATTCTCAAAGAGCGTATATAGTCATCTATAAATAGACATCTCCTGGTTTTGGGTTGTCGATTGGTAGACGACCTTAAGTATAATATTGACAAGTCTCTTGTTAAAACGCGATTACATTTCAAAAATTGTATCTTTTTCATCGACGTAAACCTTTATAGTATTCAAAATTAGTATGAGTTTCTTCTTCAAACACCTTCATTGTTTCTGTAAGTTTATAAAAAATAGACGTTGGTACTCTTATTTTCAATATCATATTTAGTTTACAGATACTATCTTTATTACAAATTCGAAAGGCTATGGACATATAAAACTAGGGCTTTAAATGTTACCTTCTTATTCAGAGACAATGGCTTGTAGCACCTCTAGACCATCGTCAATTCCCACTATGGGGAATACCTTGTCCTTCGCACCTCTACTGCGACATTTGTGGCACTGTGTTGAATTTCGCAGCCACTCTTCCACACAGACCTTGCAGCCTACAATAGTGCTGCAGCATTTAGCGAACATGGGCTCCTTAAGTAAATCTACAACACAACATGGTTATCATTTATTATAATATTACTATAAATAGGAATACCTATCCTGTTATTTCAAAATATATCGATGTTACCTTCAATGATTATTTAATTGATTAAATAATTAGTTCGATCCATGTTACACAAAATATCTATGCAACTCGGATTTTGCTAGGAAACATCAGAATTTCATCAATAAAAGTCAATAGACATGCTTATATTGGACTTAAGTAAGACCACAATTAGATTATGCCTCAACTGTTTGGGACCCAGCAACAAAAGAATCGATCTACAAAATATAACAGATACAAAGAAGAGCTGCCAGATATGTGACAAATAAGTACAAACCATCTGCAAGTGTCACAGAAATGATAGATCGCCGAAAATGAAAATCACTGCAACAACAAAGAAAGGAAACCAGACTAGTGATGTTCTTTAAAACAGAGAACAATATGGTAGCATTATCGAAAGGACGACGACTCACACCACCAGTACGAAAAGGAAGATATACATGTATACGCTCTAAGGCATACCAAGTACCACACTCACGTATTGATGCACACAAGACGTCATACTTACCACAGACTATACGGGACTGGAACGCTTACCACTGGGCATCCCATAGACAAAGACAGTGTCACTAGGTGCCATGAAGGCCCCAGTGTCAACAACCTCTAGAGCCTGGAAGGCTCGTACTGTTTTTAGCTAGTTCTTTGTCGAGCTTGCGACTGTTGTCGCAGAAAGCTCTACATAGGGATAGCGATCCGGCGTCGGAGTTGGCTTACTTGTCTTAAAAAGCTTTATATTAAAGAAGGTGGAAGTTCTGGATGCTTCATACTTTGTATGTTATGTTACGAAGTTTAACCTGACCTTGACCTCATTTTCACGGTTCATTACTCATTGTTAAGTGTTTGTCTCGCTTATCGGAGTCAAAAAGCGGGACATATGTAGGCTGTTTCCGGCGTCGTCAACAATGTATTAGTTTGTTATTAGGTGTAGTTTATGGTGAACCGCAATTGGTAGGCTAATCATATTTGGTATGCAGTTGTCTAAACATTTGCACATCTCATTTCCATGGAGATTATTCGGTCCTACCCCCTCAGTCATAGTCTGTTGACTTTGAAAATTATGCTCATTTTACATGTACTATTTTATGATTAGGTCAGTTTATGGTGAACCACAAGTGGTAGGTCAATCATATTTGGTACGCAGTTGTCTAAACATTGGCACATCTCATTTCCATGGAGAATATTTGGCCCTGCCCCCTCATGTCATCGTCTATTGACTTTGAAAATTTTGCTAAGTTAACATGTTTTAGTTTGTGATTAGGTCAGTTGAAGGGGAACTATTAGTGGTAGTCCAATATTAATTGGTATTCAGATGTATAAGCATTTACGCATCTCATTTCCATTGAGAATATTTGGCCCCGACCCCTCAGTCATGGTCTATCGACTTTGAAACTTTTGCTTAGTAAACATGTATTAGTTTATGATTAGAATCAGTTTAAGATGAACTGCTAATATTAAGTCATTGCTATTTGGTATTCAAAATTATTGACAATTGCAAGTATCGTTTCCGTGGAGATTATATAGCTCCACCCCCTCTTAATGGTTCTTTGTCTTTGAAACTTTTACATAGTTTACAAGTCTTGATTGTGTCTTGGTTTATTTAAAGGGAACGACTTATTATAAGTCAATGGTATTTGGAATGCAGTTGTATTAGCATTGGCACATCTCATTTACATGGAGATTGTTTAGCCATGTACATCAGTCAAAGTTCGTTGACCTTGGATTATGTAACATATTAAAGTATTGCTATTTTAATTTCAATATTTGTATAATAAAAATTGCAAAAAATCGAGACATAATTATCTCTGTGATAACAATTTATTGTGTTATTGTCTGTTTTTCTTAAACTATAAGCAATAGGGCAACTACATGTATATTTGTTGTATGGCATGGTTCATTTGACCTTGACCTCATGGTTCATTCGTCATTGTTTATTTTTCTTGGTTAAGTCTGTTTCTTAGAAACTATAATCAATAGGTCAACTATATTCAGTGTATTGAATGATTGTAAGGTGTACATGTATTTCTTCTTTTGGTTTATATGACCTTGGTCTCATTTTTCTTGGATCATGTTAAGTTTATGTGATAGTTGTAGTAATGCTTTATATTTGGGACTATCAACATAAAAGTAATGATTAGTAAAGAAGGCGAGACATTTCAGCGTGTGCACTATTGTTTAAAGTTTAATCTAAAAGTTCAATGTATATAGTTATTTCCACGGTTTCACAGCATAAATATTATTTACTTGTATGTCTTCTCCTGCAAACTGAACTTGTTAGAAACATATATAGCAGAATCTTCTATCAACAGACTTAAACATAGACCAATCAAAAGGTACACAACAGATTTCAAAACATGTCCAACAAAATTGGTTGACCTTTCTGTCAATCATTAAGTTGTTGGCTACAGACACCCATTGCCTTTGACGGCGACACAGTAATTGTTTCAGAGCATATCATATCATTTGAATATCAAACATTACGTAATCAGTTCAACTTTCGGAAGAACTGCAATATTTTTTATTGACAATGAAGGAAAGAATGTTATTGTTATTTATACATTTATTTTACGAAAATTGCAAATTTGAAAATGAGAATATATACAGATGCCTTTTAGGGCCATGCTAGTTTACTTTTTACAATTTGATAAAACACATTATCAAATTGCTATAACAAATTGTCAATTTGATATAACATATTATTAATTTGATATGCAGTGCTTTTATTTAAATGTCGACATTATTTTTTTGATTTTTCCTTCATATATTATTTCCGACTTGCACTCATCAAAACTTTGCATGTTTTCAAATTTAAAAAAAAATGAATTCCATCATTACGAAAAATGTTTAGAAAAAGGAAAAACAATACCTTTGCAAATCAAGCACGTAAAACTATTTTTTATCGCCTCTGCCTGCAGACCTGATAACCTGACGGTCGTCTGTGAAGACACCTGCTTAAAAATGGTATCTATTCCATCAGAAATGGATTTCAGCTTTTTTCCAGCATTATATATATCATTTAATTTTTCCTCAATATCTTCTAATTTTCTTTTCTTATCCTCGGGATCTGTTGTCCTGTATGAGGAGAAAATATTTATGTTTAAAATTATGTTTTTGAGATTAACAACAGACAGTGTAACACGCTTAGTATGAGTTTAATATCCCCCCCCCCCAAAAAAAAAAAAACAAAACAATTGCATGTCAGACCTATCCAACTATTTATTTTTGGTCATAATAATGTTGAAATTGTTAAGCCAAACTTATCAATTTGATAATTTCTGTTTTACTCTTTATATCCTTTGATCACTTCTACTAGATTATGAAGATGTTATATTGACTGCGAATTGTTACGATTTCGAAGACTAGTAGTTAAGTCCTGCCACAGATTAATATGCCTGTCCATGATTGAACCTCGTTTGTTGTCCTCTGTTTTACACTAAGAATGTACTTTGGTGTTAGATTAAAATATCTAGAATTTTAAATTGATACTATTAGTCAGAAGAGCGTTAATTGTAAATGAACAAAATAAACTAAAAATATTGATAGATTATGGAGCCTTATCGAGATATTTAATGTTTTTTAAATGGTGGAAACAGGCTGACTCGGATTTTTACCTTATATTTGCATTGGTATTATTTTGGTCTCAAATCAATAGAAAAGAAATCTAGAATATGCTTAAATTTCGGTAAATGACATTTTGTGAGCTAGTGAAGTCATTAATGAGGAGAAAATGGCTGTTATGGGGCAAAATATTCTACCCTGTGTCTGACATAGGACAAAAAATAAGGAGTCTGAACATTTGACAAAAATTACAAAACCTCACCTAAGTACATCCTTGAAATGTTTTGGAATTTATAACCAGATCTTTGATATTGGAAATTATAATCAATAATATAAACATATTGTGATACATGACGATATTGAGCTTAATTTGCTGCTCACATATTTGACGAAGACCAAGTGTTGATATCTATTCAATGGTCAGCAGTGTTATTTGGTTGCTCTCTTAATGACGTATTACCCATACATGCTTGCATCTTCATTTATTAATATCGATATTAATTAGGAATGCTGACACGTACCTTGTCCGCCTCAATGTTGAGTTCTTGAACGAGTTATAGTCTGCTAAAGTAAGGCCAACAATTTTCCGGGCACTGCCTTTCCAGTATCCTAGTCCTATAGTCGAAAGAAACATTTGAAATAAAGGATGGGCCAAGTTTTAAAACGCAAATACATATACTCTTAAATTTCGTTTATAACTTGCTCATGTTGCACCCTTTTTAAGTCAAATTTCAGTCTTGCACCAGAGAGCTCAGATTCAAAAGAAATGTGTACCCAATCGCATTATCCCTTGGCACCACAGCAGGCATTATAGCTTTTAAATGCTCGATGAGTGAGGTTTTTAACGACATTGACCACGTATAAGGTTATTGCACGTATGCCCTAACTTGCGCCTTTTTGGTCTAAAGGAGTAAGTCCAGTAAAACCCCTTTTTGGCCAAAATAAAGCAGTTTGTCAAAATTGTTAAAATGTAAACTTTTAGTTATTTATTGGAAAGTAGAATGCTTCTGCTACATAAATATGGGCTGTTTTTGACAATACAATGCACATATATCGGGAACTAGCATCATTAAGTCATGCTAAGTTACTGAAATCTTCACAATTTTAGAATTTTAGTTAAATTTTAGACGGTTTCCGTCTTAAATGAAAGTGGCCGCATTTGTGTTCATTCTTAATATTGAAATGTAAGTTGTATTTGATGATAATACATAACAAATATAAAAGTTGAGGATGAACACGGATGCGGCCATTTTCATTTTTGGCAAAAACCATCTGAAAAGTGACATTTTTTGGCATATTTGATAGATTTTTCATATTTAAGCTTGAATTGGAGCGTTTTTAATGACTAAATCAGTTAAAATCTTTCACATAAACTAATAGAATCAACTGAAATAGACACTTTAGTGTTCAAAAAGTGTCCAAAATCCTTCGTCATATGCACCTGAAATTTGAGTCCAAAATCGGCCCTTACCGGACCTACTCCTTTGTTTATTATCTTATCAAATTTGATATTGAAGGAAAATTAACTTAAGTGTATACCGTCATCTTTGAGTGTAAAATAGCGGTACTCAATCGGTCCAGTAATTTGCTTAAATCTGCGAATTTTGAAACAAAATGTCATTTTTTTTAGCATTATTTAACTAAACAAAGAAAAATAAATGACTGTTTGCGTTATTCTGATCGTTTAATCAATTCATTTTTATAAATGCATGTTAATAAAATTTCCACTTTTTTCTTGGAGCTAGAAAATAAGTTCCGGTTACTGTATATTATAAAACCTGTCTTCTCATATTGTATTTGTAAATTCTATGTCATAGATGTCTTTCTGTGCACACTTTGTAAATAACACGGTGGCCCATACTGTTTATTTGTGATAAAAACATGTGAATGTGGTATTGGATTATATTAAATTACAAATGATAGAACCTGTTCGTACTTTGTCACCGTATGTCTTTTCCAGATGAAAATACAAAAAAGCAAAATTTCATTCAGATTCCTTCAGAAAAAGCACATTTACAACTTATCTCCCATGAAAATGCCAATTCAAATAAAAATAAAAATCAAGCCAATATAATCTACGCTTGTAAAAATATCACTACTTCTAAGTTAAAACTTATAGATTCATTCTTTGAAATGAAAATACAAATTATTTATCTGCATTCCTCATCAATATTTTGCTAATTTTATTGACAATCTGGACCAAAGGTTCTCTGTTTTTTACAATCCACGATGACAAAAGACAAGACACAAATACTACCTTAAATCGATAATTATGGCAAAGCATTATAATATTTTCTATTACAAGAAATATAGTGATCTTCCACCTTCATTTGGTATCGGTCCAGTTTAGTATATAATCACATTAGTGTTGATTGTATTTTCAGTGTCTACCATGTATTATTTCTTTTTTATTATGTCATTTGTCGACATTTATACAAATGGACAATTAGTGTAACAAAGTAGAAGAACTACACAATTTTTTTATGTATTACCTCTTGTTGCCTCTGTATCTAGTATTTGATTGCCCTTAGTATCTGTCAATACAAAATCTTCGATGTCTTCTTGTTCCTCGTATACTGCATCTGAGAATTTTGCTATAATATCTGGAACATTAGCCTCATGTGTGTTAAATTTAATCAAAATTGTCCTGTCTAAAAGGATGTTGGAACCTTGAACTGAGCCTATGTAAATTTGACTACAAAAGAAATAAGACAAGAATATAGGAATCTAGCGATGCAAGTTATCCCTGCAGAATACTAGTCCAAAAGTTTGTTACAAACATCATTCAAGAGAAATAACTGATATGAAAAAAGTAATTGACTTCATAATTCGGCCATTAGCATGTATGTATAGTAGATTTCAATATACAATACAGTTCCCGTTAGGCATCAATGGTTACCCTAGCCTTTTTCAAAATTTATATATATATACAGACTTGGGAATTTTATTTGTTTAGCGCAACCTTGCTAGAATTAGACAGTATTTTTTGGTTCACAAAATCATATACAGGTTCCCGTTGTTTTTCTTCGCGTAATTTGTACTTATCTCCCTTCCCTAATAATTTTGCACTTAAAAATCATGTCTCAGCCTGGCGTAGAAAAAACATCTCTGACATCTTTTTTTATGTGTTCTAACCTTGTAGTTTTGTTTTCGATATTGGGCCCTATTTTTAATTTGGTCTACATTGAGGTCAAAATGGTCCAAAATTAAACTTTGTTTTATTTTATCAAAAACAAATAAATTCGACTGTATGAAATGCTGGATCTTATCGTGGCTTCCGATTTTATTTTTCTTTTGCTCCCGTTTACAAATGAGTCCATATAAAAGTTTGAAGGGTCCAAAATTTAAATTTGTTTTATCTAAACTAGAAATTGTGTTTATGCTGAATATTTTGGATATCAGATCATTCAAGGTAAATTAAATGTCCCATTTCAATTTTCTTAGACATTGGCCACATTGTTTTTGTGTCAGAAACCTATGTTATGTAACAAAGTTATCACATTCCGATTGTAGACAGAATCAAGCTTGAATACTGTATCAAAACTTGCCCCAACTGTTCAAGGTTCGACCTCTGCGGTCGTATCATGCTGTGCTCGGCGAGGCATTTTATTGTGTTATTGTCTGTTTTTTTAGTACAATAAGTACTAGTAATTGGTCAACTATATTTTTATTATAACATGATTAATAACTAAGGTAAACACGTCATTCTAGCCAGCAGCATATGACCTTGATCTCATTTTCATTGTTCTTTGGTCAATGTTCAATTTTGGGGTATCTGACTGTTTTTCTAACTCTTATAGTAATAGGTTCGGTACTATTGTGGAATAAAATAATTGTAAGGTATATATGTCTGTCTGGCATGTATTATCGGACCTTGACCTCATTTTTGTCGAGCCTGCGATTTTTGTCGCAGAAAGCTCGACATAGGGAAGGTGATCCGGCGGTGGCGGCGGCGGCGTTAGCTAACTTTTTTAAAGCTTTATATTTTAGAAGGATGACGACCTGGATGCTTCATACTTTGTATAAAGATGCCTTATGTTACGAAGTTTTCGTCTGTCACATGTCCATTGTCCTTGGTCTCATTTTCATCATGGTTCAGTGACTACTTGAAAAAAAAGTTACGAATTTTTGTAATGTTAATTTCTGTCTTATTATGAGTAATAGGTCCTCATGCCCGTCAGACAGTTTTCACTTGACCTCGACCTCATTTCATAGATCAGTGAACAAGGTTAAGTTTTGTTGGTCAAGTCCATATCATAGATACGATAAGCAATAGGTCTAATATATTCGGTGTATGGAAGGAACGTATAAAAGTTTACATTGAAAATACATTTTCATAGCTTGACCATTCGAAGCTCAGTCTTAGTGCAGTAAAGTCGATAGTTGATACGATATTCCCGTGCTTGCATTTCCTATCATGATTTTCTTGATGGAGGGTTGCTGCTCACAAGGAAGCTATTAAACCAAGAGTTCCAAATGGTGAAGTTGAAATCATCCCTTCGTAAATTTTACGGACGCCATCATGAGTTGGTTGACCGTTATGGAATAACCGTTTCACAATCCCTGTAACTGTAACTACAATCCCTTTCCCTTTCATGAATGATTTGTTATAACATAAGCAACACGACGGGTGCCACATGTGGAGCAGGATCTGCTTACCCTTCCGGAGCACCTGAGATCACCCCTAGTTTTTGGTGGGGTTCGTGTTGCTTATTCTTTAGTTTTCTATGATGTGTGTACTATTGTTTGTCTGTTTGTCTTTTTCATTTTTAGCCATGGCGTTGTCAGTTTATTTTCGATTAATGAGTTTGACTGTCCCTCTGGTATCTTTCGTCCCTCTTTTATAGCAGGTGCACTCTTGTTTTAGATGCATAGTGTAAACATATTAACTTTGTTAGAATACGATATTTATTGTTTTTAATAGTATTTGGCGATGGAAACAACTTTTGAAACGCATGTAAACTTCAGTAACTGTATACAAAGTGTGAATCGGTAACATGTTCTAGTGGAAATATGGGCCGAAACTTCACTGTAGGTGAATTTGATAATAGATAAAGTGCTTTTAAGTGAATAATTTCTTGTAGCTTTTCAACACGAAGAAGTGGAACGAAAAAATACTAAACACACAGTATTGGAATTCACTGATTTGTTAGTCTCTCACGCCGACTTTGGCCAGCACATTGGTTTTGCTGGGTTGTTAAAGCAGTCACATGAAAAGTTGTCATGTGAAGCATATTTATGACATCAACCGGCCTTGTGTAATTATAATATCAGAAGCATAAATATATAAATACCGTAGGTAGCTTTTTCCAGGTCTTTGGAATGTAGGCAAGCGGGACGGGGAAACAGTTGTTGATCTGTTTCTTGCAAATGAAAACTGTGACGAACTTGCATTATTTAAAGAAGACGCCAGTTCATTCCCAGTGGAAACCATATCATCGCCATTTACCGCATAATGGGCATTCAGTGTGAGTTGGAATGATGAAAAAGTTCCATCATCGTTGGGAAATACTGTGCAGTTGGTGTCATCCACTAAATAGCAGGAACTTGGATTTATCTGATTAAAAGTAATAAAAAATATGACTTTTGAGGAATAATCTGAAGATAATTATATGTAATGGAAAAGTGCAGTGTAAACAAAAAGATAACATTTTAACATTCAGAGATGTAAATAAAGTATTTGATCTGAATTTGCCTTAACCTTCATTACAAAACACAATAAGATACACTCATCTTTGTCTATGTACAACAAGGGACACTTTCCAACATTGTAGTCGAGTTTTGAATTCATGACAAAAACTTTTGTTGTTGTGATCTTGTATTGCTGATCATTTTGTCTGTTAATTTCTTTCTACCTCCTTAAGTTTTTTGTTCAAGACACATTTTTTTTTATAAATTTAAGGACAGTCACTGCGATAAAGAGTGACAGGCTACTAACAATAGATTATTGTCAAAATTTGACTTATAAATAGGTCTTGCCATGCTGATTATTTTGCGATTTAAAATGCTTTTTTCTATTATAACATTTACTCCAGCTGGCAGCCACTTTCAGCAGCCACTTTTTCCCAGCAGCCGACTTTTATGATGTGTCTAAAATCAAAAACAAAATGTATGTTTCTAAAAATCTCAAAATCTTAGTTGAATATAATTTAACAGCAGTATTCGGTAATTCTACCCAATTTGGACAGAATAAAAAAGATGCAATGACCGATAGAAAAATTACAAACATGCATTCCATATAATCGGAATCCTCAATAAATAGAATTTTAGTTGATACCATTTTTAGCTCACCTGGCCCAAAGGGCCAAGTGAACTTTTCTCATCACTTGGCGTCCGTCGTCCGTCGTTAACTTTTACAAAAATCTTCTACTCTGAAACTACTGGGCCTAAATTGACCAAACTTATCCACAATCATCATTGGGGTATCTTGTTTAAAAAATGAATCCGGTGACCCGGCCGAACAACCAAGATGGACGCCATGGCTAAAAATAGAACATAGAGGTAAAATGTAGATTTTGGCTTATATCTCCGAAATCAAAGCAAATCTGACAGGGTAAAATTGTTTATCAAGTCAAGATCTATCTGCCCTGAAATTTTTAGATGAATCGGACAACACGTTGTTGGCTTGCTGGTCCGGAATTAGTAATTTTAAAGCCTCGGTCATACCTTAACGGATAGCTCGAACGGATTTCTAACGAATAACTTTTTTTTTCAATCCGTTCATGTCCGTTAGACGTCCGTTCTTATCCGTTAGACGTCCGTCCATATCCGTTCCATGTCCGTTTAGCGTACGTTTTATCCGTTGACGTCCGTTCTGTCCGGTGGAAATTTTGAGCATGTTCAAAACTTTGAACGGACGTCCAACGGATGAAGTGTCCGTTGAACGTCCGGTAGGCGTCCGTTTTGTACGGTACTCGTCTTTTCGTTATCGTTTTGTATCCGTTACTTGTCCGTTATACATCCGTTGGAGGTCTGGTAGACAAATTCACCAACGGACTTCTACCGGACGTTTAACGGATAAAACGGATGTTAAACGAATGTGAAACGAACTTCTACCGGACGTATAACGGATAAAACGGATGATGAACGGATCTGAAACGGATAAATGCCAACTGAAAATTTCGCGTCAGGAATGAAAATTATTGGTATGTCAGATTTCTTGAGGTTCATGAATTCTTATTATTCATAATCGATCTTAAAGTAAGGGCACGTCTTCACTATCAAGCAGCTCTTATTCAGGCCAGACACTGCCCTTTGGCGGCATTTTGAAGAACAAACCAAAACCAGTTACAAAGAAACATTTTGATAATTTATGCGATTTACATGTATTATTATTGTCGCCTTTAATTTTTCCGTATATCTTGTTCATCCGTTTTATCCGGTTCGCTTCCGTTAGGTGTCAGTTTTATGCGGTACTCGTCCGTTGGATGTACGTTTTATTTTCATCCGTTAGGCGTCCGTTCGTGCTATCCGGTAAGGTGTGACCACAGCTTAAGGAAATTATGCCGTTTTTGGTTATAATCTTGAATATTATTATAGATAGAGATAAACTGTAAACAGCAATAATGTAAGATCTACAAATAAGTCAACGATCAAAATGGTCAGTTAACCTCATAAGGAGTTATTGCCCTTTATAGTCAATTTTTAACAATTTTTCGTAAATTTTTGTAGTCTTTTACAAAAATCTTCTCCTCTGTTACTACTGAGACAAATTTATTTAACCAAACTTGTCCACAATCATCATTAGGGTATCTAGTTTAAAAAATGTGTTCAATGACCCATCCCGCCAACCAAGATTGCTGACATGGTAAAAAATAGTACATAGTATAAAATGCGGTTTTTTGCTCATATCTCTGAAACCAAAGCATTTAGAGCAAATTTGACTGGACAAAATTGTTCATTAGGTCAAGATATCTCTGCCTAGAAATTTTCAAACCAATCAGACAACCTGTTGTTGGATTGCTACTCCTGAATTGGTAATTTTAAGAAAATTTTGCAGCTATTGGTTATTATCTTCAATATTATTATAGATAGAGATAAACTGTAAACAACAATGCTGTACAGCAAAGTAAGATTTACAAATAAGTCAACATGACCAAAATGTTCAATTGACCCCTTAAGGAGTTATTGCCCTTTAAAGTAAATTTTAACAATTTTCATAAATTTTCCACTGTAACTGCTGAGCGAAGTTCATTATAGATAGTTTATGTTGATTTCGTGATATAACAGGATACCCCATCCCCTTTTTAATTCCTTGCTGACAAACTCGTACGAGTGTAGGGCATAAGTGCTATGGGCCATTTTAAATCAAATTCTTACCTCTGAATGGCAATAATCTGATTATGTTAAGATTCCGAATGGTCTCCGTAGTTTTGTATAAAGAAAGGTCCTTAATAAAGGAAATGTCTGTTTTTTATTTTTCTTCTTTTTTCTTTAATTCAAAATATTTTGTATTTGTATGTTCTATTTAAAAAAGATGAAAAACGATCTTCTTCTTCTTCTTCGGAAGTCCATCCTATTTGCAGGGTCACCGTATTAAAAAAATTCTAGTTTTAGATAATTTTTAAAAATGCGTAATTTTTTTTATAAAATATTAAAATTCTATTAAGTTTAAATACAGTCTTTACGCTTTACCACAAGTCCTACGGCCATGGCTTGTAAAATTGCTCGGGGGCTTGTAAAATTCTTCAAGCCAACAGAAACCAACTAAAATTTTCAAAAAATTGAGCCCTGGGCTTGTGGACTCGAAAGTTTATCGTGAAGGCTGTAAATATGTAACTATGTTTTAGTAAAACAAAAATAATAAGGATAAAAGGTAAAACTTTTATTTACACTGTACAGATCATACTGCCATGAGCTTAAAACATTAGATTTTAAAATTCAAAAAAATGGATAAAACTTAAAATTAATAAGTTTAAAAATGTCCACTTTTTAAAAGATAAAAATATATGATAAGATTTATTTATGTCAGTGATGATAAAAAGTTAACAATCAAGCGAGGTTCCTCATTAGATGTTTCATTAAAATCTAAAGACTCATTAACCCATGTTGTTAATTTCTTTTAACATGCATTATTATTTATGTTAAAAATAGAACATTGAGGGCCATTTTAGATATTATTTATTATTCAGCATTAGGTTCAAATCTCCATTTTAATGGAGTATTTAAGGGGGGAATGACAAACAAAATTATCATTAATGATATGTTCTTATTTATTCATTTGCGGTATGTAGTACTTTTGAGAACATACTATGGAATGGCCGTATGTCAATTAATTCCTTTTTATTTATTTCAGTTGACGTGTAATAAATAGTTTTTATATTGTAAATACTTTCAGAAGTCAAAAACATCATATAAGAACTGTTCTATTTTATTTGTCCAGTGGAATTTCCCGTTTTAAAGATTCATAGTTAAGACTATGTCAGCTCTTTAGTTCATTTTTTTTTATTGATAGTAATCGTTAAATTTCTATATTTAAGCATCCTTTTATTTGTTGTTGCTGCAGTTTACATTATTTAACTAATCACATAGTTCTGAACAGATAAGCAACAATTATTGGTTCTATGTTTCTGAAGCATTCACATTTTTACTTTCATTTTAAATGCTGTTAAAAGATTCAGACCTTGCAGAAGACCAATAGATCCTTTTATAATTGATTAATTAAACGCGGACCTCGAAGAAGACACCCACTGACTTGTCTGTTTGAAACAATATCAACTATAAACAAAAAATATTAATTTATCATAATAATCGTTCGTTGTTTCTTAAAACACTAAGTCTTCATCGAACGCAAGTCACCTCATGAATATTAATGACGGTTTATGAATATAATTGAACAGGTCGGTGACACTACCTTATATGAATATGCATGAATTAGCATACTTATGTCCTCGCAATTGTCATTGTTTATTTACGTGTGACGTAATTTAGTTTTACCTGAGTTTTTAACCAATCCAATAAATGAGCAACAATGCATGATGGACTACTACATGTTTGCAATCAACAGAGAACACGTGTTATTTACTGAAATGCAACACATTTTTTCATGCATTGCGGTATTCACAATTTTGCTTACTTTTTTCAATTTTTGTATACACATTAATAGTTCGTGATATAAAGTTGTTTCTAATTCTATGCAATGAAACGAGTGTTTGAATTAGCTGATACACAGCCATTAATATGATTGACGATGACACGGAGATTTTAGGTATTCGTGCACAAGACAGCAACGAAACAACAGTGAAGAACACAATTACCCACAATACAAACTTACTAGTGTAAAGATAGGTGTTGATAACAATCGGTGCTAATATTCACGAGGGCAGCAACTTTCGTATAGATAGTTAAGAAAAATAAAAGATCCTAAATTTTCTGTTCGTAAAAAAGGGGAGGACTTAGAGTGTGTCATATATCTGTTGGGGTCACTAATATACAGTCCGCCAAAAGTAAAGCACCACCTAAATATAACTGGTAATATTTTTTTAACTATTGCGAAAAAAATATTTATGTTTGGTGTTATGAATTGCCTATAACATACATCGAAAATTCATTACGACCACAAAAAATAAACTCCGATGAACACGCCAAG